TACCCCTTCGACCTGCTCCACCAAATCTCAAAAACTAGCACACTCTGCATCCTTAAAAAAAAAAAAAAAAAACATTTGAAAAATACTTAATTGTACATCCTATTATCCATTGTCTCCATTCCTTTACTAATAGAATTTCTCACTGGGCACAATTTTTTAGAATAAATGTTATTATTCCGGGTCTCCGTTCCAGCTAGGTAAGGCCACATGACTATGTTCTGGCAAAAGTGGTGCAAGCTCCAGTGTTCGGTGCAGTTGATGTAAGGAATCATTGTAGGAAGGGGACGTGCTCTTATTCACACCTTGCTTTTTCCTTTTGGCTGGAATACAAACTTGAGGGCTGGAGCTTGAGCAGCCCTTTGGTCATGAAGCAGCAGGCTAAGGAGGGTAGCATAGCAAGATACAAGGGCTCCAGTTCCTTGATGATCATAAAACTATGATACTAGTCTGAATAAGATAAATTAGGATTTTCTGTTATATTGAGCCAGACTTCAAACCAGCTGATTCAACTACATAAAACTACTATCTACTCTTCTGGACCAATTTTACAGGAAATGATGGTACTATTTATCAATAATTCCAAGCAATGAAGAAATTATGGTTAATTTATGAGAAATTAGGACCTTAAGAATGACAGAGTTATAGCTTCTGGAGAAAGTTGTATATTTTCCAATGACAGGAGAGACTCATTGCTTTCCTCTTCCTGTGTATTCAGTAATGTTGATGCTACCACAATTCTTGCCTTTTGCACATTTTGGTGATGAGCTCTTTGGTTTGAGGCTAAAGTCACTTTGGCAGTCTCAGGTATCATTTCAATTGCTCAGGAATGACCAGGATATCTGTTTGTCAGTTGGGACTGGACCCAGGTTTTGTGTTTAAAGCTTATGCAATTTTGGAGATTATTAAAAATAAAAAGACTGGCCCTGGCTGGGTGGGTCAGTTGGTTATATTGAGCCAGACTTCAAACCAGCGGATACAACTACATACATCAAAAGGTGGCAGGTTTGCTTCCTGGTCAGGGCACATGCCTATGTTGTGGGTTCGCTCCCTATTGGGGTGTGTATGGGAGGCAACCAACCAATGTTTCTCTCTTACATCAATATTTCTCTCTCTCTTTCACTTCCACTCTCTCTAAAAATCAATAAAAAGATATCCTCAGGTGAGTATTTAAAAAAAAGATAATAATAAAAATAAAGACTGGAGGGAGGGGAGTATTAAGAGTTGTTTAATGGGTACAGAGTTTCAGTTTGGAAAGATGACAAAGTCCTGGAAATGGGTGATAATGATGGTTGCACAACAATGTGAATGTATGTAATGCCACTGAAGTGTAAACCTAAAAATGATTAAAATAGTACATTTTACATGATGTTTATTTTACCACAATAAAAAATGGTGAAACGTAAAAAAAATCAAAATTTAAAAATCCCACAACGTAGGACAAAAAACTGGCTCTTGGAAGGGCCCATGGGACTATGGGGCCCTGAAGCTTAAGTTTTATGATCTTCATGGTAAAGCTGTCCCATTTAAATCTGTGTCACTATTTTAAAAAACTTTGTTACATAAGCAGAACATGTGCTTTGTAGAACATTAGAAAATACAGACAAGTTCAAAAAACAAACAGCATATTCCTACCTTCCAGAAAACATGACTGTAATAACTACCTACGTGTGTGTACCAAAATGGATCATACTCTAAAAAATGTTTTATAACCTGTTTTATCCAGTCAACACTCTCTACATTTGTGTTTTGGTGTATTTTCATCTCATGTGATTTCCAGGCCATATCAAAATTTGTCAAATTAACTCCAATTATTCTTGTACTTGCTTTATCCAATCCAGGACCACAGTTCCCCTGTGTTTATTTTGATCTAGTACAGTCCCTTTTTAGGACCCTTACTAGTGGAAGCAATTGAGTCCCTTGTCCTACAGAATGACCCACCTTCTGGATTTGTCTGGCTACTTCCTGGTGGTATTTATCTTGCTTCTTTAGCAACTATATTTCCTGTGAAATAGAAGTTACATGTAAAGGGCCGGTGGATTCAGATATTGTTTTTCTTTCATTAAAATCATCAAGATTTCTTAGTATGTTGCTACTATGGGATCCCAAAGAATTTCAGTAGGAAAATACTTCTAAAGAATACATATCAGGAGAAAAACGATTTCAAGAAATAGAATAAAGTCTTTGAAAAGCATCTTTTCTGTGCCCTCAAGGAAATTAAAGACAACATGAGGCCTTAGGAAACAACAACAAAAAATCAGAGATATCAAAATCAGATGAAAAGAGACTTGGGACTATAAGGAAAGAAACAGAAGAAAAACCCACTAAATATCTAAAAGTCACATTAGAACCCACAAGAAGTAGAGTTGACATGACAGAAAGCTGAATCAGTGACATGGATAACAGGCTTGAGCCTAGCACACAGAACACAGTGAAGGACAAGGAGATGACATCACTGGAAGGATAATGGTAAATCCGTAAGACATTTCTGCTGATCCAACAGACAGGCCGAGTCCCTGATGAAGAGGAAACAAATGGAATCGAAAAGGTAGTCAAACACATAAAAGAAAAAGCAATTTCTGAAACAAAAAGACTCAATTTGGCAAATGAATAGAATTTACTATATTCCAGGTAAACTGAACAAAGAAACCATTGAGACCAGAATATGTCTTGTAAAGTTCCTAAGTCTTAGAGATAACAAAAGCACCTTACGACGAACATCCAGATAGAGGAAGCAGATAATCTACCGGGGGGAATAAAATGCGACTGGCCTCAGACTTCTTTTCAGCAGTTTTAGGCGGCATAAGACAATGGAACAATGTAGAGAGAATGTTGCAGAGGAGAGGATGTGACCCAATAATTCCATAAATGGCTAGAGATTTATTCAAGGATGAAAGTAGCAAAACTAATCTTAAAACTCTAAGTACACTAAGATGAGTAAATCTATAAGCTGGTTCTTTGAAAAAGAAAAGTTAGACAAAGCACTAGCTAACAGTTTAATTTTTGAAAAGGAAAACATACAGTTTGAAATAAGAAAACACAAGTGTAAATAATAAGGAAGTATAGGCTTCTGT